CTATACTTAACTTAAGTATCCTCTACTAGCTTAAACTACACACTAATTATCTTAGGATCTTCCTGTAGTATCCTCTGTCTATCCTTAGCTTAATTAAAGGCTATTTTAAGCTTGTCTAAACGCGTTACAAGCCTGCTAGCCTATAGTTTGCTAACAGGCTCTTCACTACGCACACTAAGTATCTTATTAGCTATATCTGCCACCTTATATAGCTAGGGCGCAAATCCTTGCAAATTAAGGTTAAGTATATACTAGACAATTGTCTGCTCCTCTAGTATAGTAAGTTTCTAGCAATTAGCGCGTACGTCTAGTTAAAATGTAATATTGCAAAGGTAATTAGAGACCTGCTAATAAGGTACGTTTAACACTCTAGCAGCGCTGCAGATACTGCAAAATTAGCTAGTGTAGAAGGCCTAGATAGTAAGGATAACTCTGCCTTCTCTAGTAGTATTCTGAAGTTGTTGTTGTTGAGGCATGTTGTGTTAGGGTAAAAGGTGGTTGTGCCAAGAGAAAGTGGCTGGTTCAGTGATATGGCTGGCTCGGTGATAATCTACGTTATACGCAGGGTATTTGCCACATGGAAGCTTCAGGAACATAAATGTATAACGTAGATTATCACCAAGCCAGCCATATCACCGAACTAGCCACTTTCTCTTAGCACAACCACCTTTTACCCTAACACAACATGCCTTAACAACAACAACTTTAGAATAACGTACTCTATCACCAAGCTAGTTATATCACTGAACTAGTTAAAATCTGCCAAGACTAACACAACTCCGCACTTTATAGTATGTCTTAACAACATCACAACCTATTGCTTCAACACAAAGGGAGACTGCAGCTTGCTCTCTAGGCCTACAATACTGGACAGTTTCAGAGCCATTGGGCTGCTGCTGCTGCATTCAGCGTTAACCAACGCAGGCTCTCTGAACGCGCTAGCAATACTCTATTTTGACTCAACATACGCGCAAACTGCTAGAAGCTTACTACAACTAAAGAGCAGACAATTGTCTAATATATCCTTAACCTCAATTTGTGAGGATTTGCGCCTTAGCTGTGTAAGGTGGTAGATATAGCTAATAAACTGTTAGGTGTGCGTAGTAGGGAGCCTGTTAGTAAACTCTAGGCTATAAGATTTGTAACGTATTTAGATTAGCTTAAGATAGCGTTTAACTAAGCAAAGGATAGACAGAGGATACTACAGGAAGATCCTAAGGTAATTAATATGTAGTTTATACTAGTAGAGGGTACTAAGGCTAAGTATAGCATCTACAACAATAACGTGTACAACTTTAATAAGACTAGGTTCTAGATAGGCGTGATAGGGTTAATAAAGTTTGTCACAGGCGCTAAGAGACGCGCTTGACCTAAGCTTGTTTAGCCAGGCGATTAGGAGTGGGTTACAGTTATACAGAGCATCTGCGCTGCTAGATATGCGACCCTGCCTTTCATCATCTACAAAGGACGTATCCACATCTCTGCCTGGTATAAGGAGACAGATATACCACACAATTAGAAGCTCTCTATCTCTAAGAACAGCTAGATAAACAACGCGCTTAGCCTTAAGTAGTTAAAGCATTTTAACGCGCATACAAGAGCGCGTTAGGTAGGGGGATACAGGCTACTTATTATAGACAGCTATAAGAGCCACCTTAACTAGGATTTTAAGGACTATTGCCTAGATAACAAGATCCTTACTCTCTATATGCTAGCTTACTTGTCACACATCCTCTAGCTACTTAACGTGGTCTGTTTCTTGCTGTTAAAGCGCAAGTACTCCTAACGCGTCCAGGACTTAGCACGCCAACGCGTCTTCTATATTAACAAGGAAGGCTTCCTTCCAGCCTTTAGAGACGTGTTTCTTAATATGTTTACAAAGGCTAACTGTTAGAAGGCCTTTAAGGCATCAGGGCTAGTCCCTACTAACGCGCAGGTAGTGTTGGATTGCCTTAAGGTGCAACACTGTACCCCACCAGCACCCCCTCTGTAACAACGCTCTACGAATAGTGACCCGATACCACTAGGATACGGTTCTAGCGACTCATGACCATGGCCCTTGTCGTATGGCATGAGCTCACACCGAACTGCCACCGAACCCTCATATATAAGGAGCAAGGAACTGTAGCATTGTAGAGTAGTTTTTCTGTATCCTTTTGTACAAGACCTATAGGTGTAGAGAATATATCCTGGTGTTCTTATCATCCCAGCACTCCCATATGCCTCGTAGCGGATTCACACCTATTCCGGATATCTCTCTTCTTGCCTGCGTCGTTACACCCTCTACTAGAGACACTGTGGCAGTTAAGGACTCTAAGCAATACACACAAGTTTAGGTCTTAGTTAAAGCTTGTACATAACTCCTTTACTTAGTCACTAGTTACAGCTTAGGCTAGCTTCTCTTAGCTTATTAAAGGTAGTGAATTAATACTGCACTAAAACGCGCTGCAAGCTGCTTGCATTACTAAGCTTAAAGAGCAATTAGCAGTCATGACTAGGAGAAAGTCGCGCAAGCGAAAGCAAATTTAGCATAGCAGCACACTTAAGTATGGCCTAGCAGCATCACAGGTAGCTGCTAAGGTGTCTGTAGTAGCTTAGCTATTAAAGAAGACTTATAGTGCAGGTACTTAAGAAAGGACCTAGTTAGCCTAACAGCGCTGTAGAAACTATAGAGGCATAGGGCACAACGCTTAAACGTGTTAGAAAGATACAGAAGAAGATTCTAAATCTAATAAAAGCACACAGTACGCTAGATTACTATTTAATAGCAAGTAATTCAAGTTAACGTACTCTATCACCGAGCCGGTCATATCACCGAACCGGTCACTTAAAATCCTACCAAAAAACACAGAAACCATACCCCTGCATCTTAATAACTACTTAATGGAATCTTCTAAAAACTTCAGAATAGAGCTGCATCTATACTAATAAAACTATTTAAAAGTCTTAGACTAATAGCTAGTATAGATGTTAAGATAGCCTGCAGCTACCCCTGTATTTCAGTATCTTCTAAACAACATCTGCAATATAGGGCTAAGCACTCTAAGACTTTCAAACAGTCTTATTAGTATAGATGCAGCTCTATTCTAAAGTTTTTAGAAGATTCTATTAAGTAGTTATTAAGATGCAGGGGTATAGTTTCTGTGTTTTTTGGTGGGATTTTAAGTGACCGGTTCGGTGATATGACCGGCTCGGTGATAGAGTACGTTACTGTAATATAAGTTGGGCGCGCCAAGAGATTTTGACTGGTTTGGTGATATGACTGGCTTGGTGATAGAGTACGTTAAGAGAAAATCGCGTAAGAGAAAGCAGATTCAGCATAGTGGCACACTTGAGTATGGCCCAGCAGCATCGCGGGTAGCTGCTGAGGCGTGTGTAGCAGCTCAGCCATCTAAGAAGACTTGGGGTGGAGGTGGTTAACTAGGAGCTTAGTTAACTGTTCAGCGCTGTAGGAACTGCAGCAAGACTAGACATAATGCACAAACGTGCTAGGAGGGTGCAGAAACATCTTCTAAATCTAATGTAAGCACGCAGTATACTAGGTCACTGTTTAATAGCAAGTAGTTGTAGTTGCAGTAACTTGTGTTAGTTGTGCTAAGAGAAAATGGCTGGTTCGGTGATATGGCCGGCTTGGTGATAATCTACGTTACTGTCTAATAGCTAATAGCGATATGTGTGAGGATTGTGGTCTGATTGAATTCAAAGTACCCCTCGTTCGTCCCAGCACGGAGGGCGTCCCAGCACACAGGGAGGGACGTTACTCCGTTACTGATGCAATGTAGCAACCTCCTAAGAGAGATTTTAAACCTGATCGCTCAGTTACATACCTAGAATCGTCTGTCATCGATGCGTCCTAATAATGCAGAAGCCATTGAAAGAGCAGCTCCACGGGGACGCGTCTTGTCTAGGACGCGTTTGTGGGGTCCGCTTGCTGGGGTAGAGAGCCCAGAGATGGCCCGCTTCGAAGCCTACAGGGTAGCGTGCGCAGGTCCGGCTCAGCCTTGCAAGCACCCTGCTCGAATTTATCGCTGCCGCTGTGCTGGGGTTGGCAGTTTAACACTTCAGTGTATTGTCAATTCCAAGCCCTGGGTTCATCCATCTGTTTCTTGCTCAACCACCCTGAGCTTGTCCACCTTGCCATCGTTCGAATACCGCAACATGCAGTGATAACCCCAGATAGCTTTGTCCATCGGCACGCACAGTCCAGTTCTCGGATATGTTCATGCACATCGCCAAACCCTTCTCGGTTGTCCACGTGCTGCCCTGATTGGACAGCATCGAGCAACCCGCACTTGGACTCGGTCCCCAGCGGCACACCTTGGCCATGAAACCACTGCTACGCCCTCTTCAGCTGATTTGAACGAGAGGAATTTCCCACAATGCGCTTCCGTCACTCATGCGGGCGTCGCAGCCATTGTTTCTTGGGAGAGGCTGTAGCGTTAAACAATCTGCACATGCAAACGATACTTCTCCTGATTGGCCAGTAGTTGGAACACCACATCACGGCTATCGTGCTGTATATACTACATCTCCGCGTTTCTGGGATCGTTGCTGTTCTCTGTAGTACACCAGCGACATGGCCAGGCTCCGACCCTTCGCGGTCGTCCGCGAAACGTGGAACATCTACACGCCCATCGAGCGGCGGAATATCGCCATATACATCGCCGGAATCATGATGTACAAGTTCGGACTCGAAGCATTCAGCGGCTCCGTCATTGCTCTTGCAACAAACCGCTATGACCAGCTCGGGAAGCGGCAACACGCCTCGATTACCTTTCAACGTGTCGGCATCCTGACCGGTCTCAACCAGGCCTTTCAGTGTGTTGGATCGATTCTAATAGCTCCGTTGATCAAGAGATATCCGACGAAGAACGTTCTGGCCTGCGCAATTTTGATTTTTGGAGTCATGAGCAGCATCCTTCTCATCCTGGACGCAGCAACTGGTGGCAAATTTGTGCCAGACGGGCACCCCAAGGGTGACTTCAGCTACTATGGAGACTACAATACGGATGGCATGATTCCAATCTGTAAGTAATCCTAGCAAGATGCGCCTCGTCTCGTCTCAGCGCAGCAGCAGATGCAGTCTTCGCAGTGCATTCAGTCACACTCTGCAGACACTGATTATGTGCAGATTGTGTATGCGGTGTTGTATACGGCATGGTAGAGCTGATTCGAAGAGTTATCCCTCGTGATCTCGTTGGCGGTAACGTTCAAAAACTGCGGCAGATGGACTCCCTCGTCCACATCTTCTACGAAATTTCGGGCACAGCAGGAGCGTTCTGCACAGCTCTTGCTCTAATTCCGCACTTCGGAAACAACTTCTCCTTCATCGTCACACCAATCTTCTTCGCCGCAGCATCCTTCCTCTGGTTCTTCATCCGAGAAGACGCGGCTCCGTCTGAGAACAGCCTGTTTCTAGAGGGCCAGCCAACGTATGCCAAGGCTGTCGCGAGCGGCTTCTACCTCTTCTTCGAATCAATTTGGACGGGCGGCAAGATTATCTTCACGCACAGAAAGTTTGTTTGGTTGCTTCCCGGATATGCCATTGCACTGTACGCTCACCGTTATCTCGAAAACGCCATTGCGCCCGTAGTCGCTCGACGGTATCTTGGCAACTCAGCTTGGGCGCAAATCATGGTCGGAGGCTCAAACTTCGGCGAACTGCTGGGAGCGCTGTTTGTGTTCATGTTCACGAACCTCGTGCAGACACCGATTCCGTGGCTGCGTATCGATGCGCTGGCTCTTCTCATCGTGTGGTATCTGCCGTTCTGGCATCCCCTGAAGGGCGATGTAGGACAGGCGTGGGTCGTTGCCGCAACGTTCCTCCCCATCAGCTTTGGCTGGGCGGCTGGTGATGTCAGTCTTGCCGCGTACATCCAAGCGTCAGTATTGCCTCGACCCCTTCCTCACCCAGCTTGCTCACAATTTGAACAGATCTCTTGCGCGTATCGAGTCAGACACAAAGAACGTTTCCGCCCTCGGCGCCGTCATGGCTTTCCTCTACAGCTCCTACATCGTCACCTACGCCATCGCATCAGTATGCCTGGGCACATACATCGACCGAGTCTCCGACGCCAACAACGACAACGTGCAATCCGCCATCAGAAACGTAGCAGGCATCCAGTTCACCATCATTGCGGTGCTCGTTATGACGAGTACATTCGTACCCAAGGGCGCGTTTGCCTTCAACCCCAAGATGCTCAGCAACGAGCCGCTGGATACAGATCTTGAGGACGAGGAACTCGAGTACGTGCCCGGTGGACATGCGAAGTGCAAGGATAGCCATGATAGCCACGAGATGGTAAGTAGGGTGAGTACAATGTAGTGCGCGTTAAATGCTTGTTTCGTTAGCGATAAGCCGCGATACCCAGTTCTTTACGATTCATCTGCTATCGATTCACCGATCTCAAAGCCCTCCGGGGTGGAGTTGTTATCCGTGCTATTATCCGCCACAGTCACGCATCATCAGCCTAATGTCTAACCCCAGTTTCGTGCGTCCATTGCACGTAACACTCGCTATACAAGCCGTTGTAATTCCGTAACAATTTACCGCCTGTATCAGTCGCATGAGAGGCTGCCTGGCTAAGGCAACATACTTGGCTCCCACAATCCGAGAGCGGAGCCCCCTGTTCGGGGAGTCGGAGGGTGGCGGGGATATGTTCATTAGCAATAAGGATAGAGCACGAGCATTCATTGCAAATTCTCAGGTAGACAATGATGGAGATGGCAGATTATGGAGAGAACGGTATAGTGCAGTTTTTCCTGAAGAGTGCAGCCGTGGATTTCGGGAGCTAGAAACGTTGCTCCACCCAGGCAACCTCCATCGATCATCTCCTGCCTCGCCTTTCTTAGTGGCAACCCTCCCGCACCCAGACCAAACTGCTCCGGGCATGCTCTCGGCGCTTAGCCGGGGCTCAGCTGGGCCGATCAGCAATCTCACGGTGCTGGACAGCGACCATGCGCGACGCTCCCGAGCCTTGGCGCTGCACGTGGGAGTGAAAGCGACTCCGGTTGGCTGGCGCATGCAACATCGCGAAGCAACGAGTGCCAAGAGTGAGCTTCGACACACGTTCCGGGGCGTACGGGAAGAGATGTGGGTGCCACCTTAGCTTCTAACGTGTCAAGGGAAGATGGATATTAATGGTGGAATGCAGGTCGTCTTGAAGCTGAACATACATCGATCCGCGTCCTCCGTCTCTCATACAAAACCTGGAACCACGTAAAGAGCTAGTCTAGGCATATCGGCGAGTGAGCATAAGGCCCGCTCAACAACGGGTGTCTATCAGACGAACCAAACACGTGGTCTGCGTTCATCAACTTACACCTTGGAATCTGAATTCGGATACGGTCCTGGATTACTTCGATAAAATACCGACAAGTCCATCATAACTCGACTGCGTCTCTAAAAGCTATTGTTCCCTCAATGTCATGCCCGAAACAGTAACCATGCAACCCTATCCACCGCACCAATCGGTGGAGACAGACACACACTCGCACCGCGGCCCCTTGAGCAGAACATGGCCCCAACTATTCAAGAAGAGGAGGCGATACAGTCCCGTCCGCGAGAGCGCGCAACAAGCCCAATCAGCCCAGCACCACCAATATCAAACCCCAAAGCAACACCACAACCAGTCACCACCACAGCATGCCCACATCCAACCACAGGCGCAAACGCCACCGCAGTTCCAGGCCTCCGTTCCATTGCAACCGGTCAAGCACCCGAGTATCTCAACAGTGAGCTTCAGAAGCCCCAGCATAATCGCCGATACCGCAAGCACAATCTCCACCCTCAGCGAGGTCTCCAGTCTCCCTCAAACCTCAGCTTCAAAACGCGTCCCCATCGCACGCCGCACATCCTCCATCGACACAACAGAGAGCAACGGTACTCCCCTCATTGCATTTACCTTTCTTTTTACTGACGTTGATACAGGCGCAGGCGGCGTGACAACACCGCAAGCCGACTTGCTCGCGAGTAAGAGCAACTACGAACTGATTTCCAGCGGTCAGCATCTAGAAATGGGTCTACACTTCAGCACCGCTATGGCGACGGGGGTGATGATGAAGCGCGCCACACACCGGGCGGCAGAGCAGGCGCGGCGGGACCGTATGAAGACCGCCATGGTGGACTTGGCTGAGTTCCTGCTCGATGGCGAGGTCACGTTTGGCACCGGCACGACGTGTTTTGTGGTCATGCGGGGCGAGCCGAAGGAGGGCGAGGTGCAGAGTGTGTTCAGTGAGACGAGTGGGGTCAGTGGGATGAGTGGAATATCGGGGCTGAGTGAAGGGAGTGGGAAGGGGCGACCGGGGGAGAAGAAGACGGTTAATAAGGCGAGGTTGATTGAGATCGCCCTCGAGAAGATGAAGGCTCAGGAACTGGAGATTGAGCGTTTGAGAAAGGAGGTCGAGGAGCTGAGGTGTGGAGAGAAGGGAGATAAGATGGATGAGTCTTGATGGAAAAAGGTGGGATGGGGGGAGTGATGAGAATCCAGCGTGCATTTTTGAGATATCCATTTGTCAGGCGTCTTAGCGATTGAAGAGACACTGCGTAGATTCGAGCCTAGAAACGGCCTATGCATTCGTCGAGATGTTTTTGCTAACAGTGTCTGACTTGCACGCTCACCATTGCTCAGTATATTGTGACCCTCAATTTGATACAAAGCGAGGTCTGAGCGCGCTGTGAGGGATTACATCGTAGTTGCAGGGATCAAAATATGCTTTCAAATAAGCTCATCGATCAGCTGTGCATCGAGCTGGCTCGACAGCGTTCCGTTCCTGCATCTCATACATCTCGGCATCTGCTCAGGAATTTTACCGCCACAAAGCTAACAACGACGCCGCTAGACGCGACATGGCGTCCATTCCGGATGTTCGAAGCGTCCTCTATCGGACCGCTCCAGCCTTGATTCGCCACGATACTGATTCATGACGTATCATGCCTCAAGCTAAAAGAGCGAATAGAAGGTATGTCTTCTTCGCGTACTCTGCCGCGTTCTTCTTCAACCTCTGGACTGCGGCCTCATCCAGATCGGCCATATCGATCTTCTTGGTCAATTCATCTGTAGCTTGGGTCGACTTGGCGTCGTCGCCGAAGAATCGTTGCAGGTAGAGCGCATCGAATGCCAGCTGCTTCAGTCTTTGATCCCTGAGTTTGTTGTTCTGCAAAGAAGTCGCCCCGTTCTCAGCATCGACCTCGCTGTCCTTGCCCACGCCATTCGTACCGTTCGACTCGCCAGGCTCGGTGTCATCAATGTTTGTCCCCTGCGAGTGTGAAGCATTGATGGCTGCGACATGCTTCTCCAGCAGGCACTTGATATCTATGGATATCTTCTTCTTAGCAGCTGAGACCCCAGCAGGAGCCCACAGATCGCTGCCTAAGCGTGCCATTGTCCGGTTCAGTTCCCGCAAGAATCGGAATGCGCTCGGCGACGGCTGGCTGGGTAATGGCGGATGACCTTCCCATAAGATGTGTGTCTGGGTCGTACTCTTCACCGACGCAGTAAGGAAAGACTCCAATGATGGCAGTGTCAGCTGCGCGACATGCGCAGCGAGGACGGTATGCAGCGGCTCCAGAACATGAGATGTAAAAGGTGTTGGTAATGCCGAAGACCGTTCCTGAAGGCGCAGCCGGTGTATGCGATCACCGAATTCACGCACAACACGTAGGACGAAGATGGCCTTGCGTACAGAGCCATCCTGCTCAGCGTCGGTCGCCTTCTGTGTGACGTGTGCAAAACTCTTCCCCAGGTTCTGCAATGACTCGCCGAGTGCTTCGTGTGTAACATCTTCCAACAGCCGAGGGTCATCAGCGCTGAGTAATGCCTGCTTCGAGTCGCCTAGATCGTCATCCGAATCCTCCTCAATGTCGTCGGCAAAAATGTCATCCCAACGCGCTTCCTTCATGCTCTTCACTATGCCCTTGACTTCAAGCACAGAATCCATCCATTTGTCGAAAGCAGCAGTCACACCCAGGGTGGCTTGGTCACGCCCCTGGTGCGTATTGAGTATGGTTGTTTTAAAAGCCTGCGCGCCATCACTCAAATCCTTGCCATTAGTTGTGCTGTGCCACAGCGACAAGCCAGGTGCGTCGCTGTCTGTGGGCAATGTGTCCAAGCCGACCATAAGCTCGGCCACTACGCCCTGGAGTGCTTGGGTGCGTGCTCGCACAATAGCTTCGAGCTTCTCGTTCATCGTGTCGCGCAAATCGTCGAGTACATTCGCAAACTTGACTCCTGCCATGCGTGGACCAGATAACATCCACGTCTCAATCAGCTCTTGTCGTAAGCTTGCCACTTCTGCCAATCGACTCTCTCCTTCAAGAGCAGTCTTCACCTCCTTCAAGAAAGCTGCGATTGTATCTTTCGACCAGCGATGCAATATTCTCTCGGCTTCTGGTCGCTGCAGCTCATCGTGGCGCGGCCATGGAGTGTAGCTCCGCACCTCTTCGCCAATCCAGCGATCATGAACGTCCAGATTCAGCTCGTACAAACTGCGTATTTCTGGATCCTGAATCAAGGGATGAGCCTTTAGCTTCGCAAGAGCTTCAGCCAGCTTTCGCGGAAATATCGTCTGGGAATCCTGACATGTCTGAATGCACAGTCGGAGAGCGTCGATTCCTCTCTTGGCAAGCCCATCTGCTCCCTTTTTCAGTCCGCTCACCATCTTTTCCCTCCGCACTTTGTGGAAGTGCTTCAGTACGTCAGACGGGGCGGAGCTGGTGGCCAGGGCATACGCGCACATGCTCTCCACCAAGCTCGCAGTTTCCCCGGTAGCACTCGCCAGCCGTCTGTCGATCCTTCGCAGTAACTTTCTCCGTGCTGAAAGTAACTTCTCCCATAGCTGATCCACAAGCGGTGGCTTGACCTTCGACTGGCTAAGAGCTTTATGTACGAGGCGAGAGATCACAAGGACTTTGGCGATCAGCAAGTGCTGGTCGTCCTTCCGCATGAGTCGTGACTTGACGGTAGGCGCGCTTCGTAGGACCGAGAGCTGGGATGCAAATGTGTACCGCTCGACATCTGCAGGCCCATATCAACAAGGTGTTTCCTCCTCTGCGTTGAACCAGACACTAACCACTTCCTCTTGCATGTGTGTCCATATTGAGCGCATTTGTACAGGCTTTGTCCAGGACCCTGGAGTTGCAGTTCTGGCCTATGCGGCTGAGCTTCGATTCCACCTGATCCATCTGCGTTTCCATGTCGATAATAGTTTCGGCGGTGTCGAGGAGGCTGCGGTAACTTGTCCTATACCGCTGTCAGCTTCAGACTTCATGCGTCGCACCCGAGGCTGTTCATACCCCACGAGTGACCGCAGCTTCTCGCGATTATCATCGGCGATGGTACGGAGCTGCTGTTCGAGCTTCCGCACCGTGGGAATGGGGTATTGGAAGGCATCCTCCCATGACTGGAAGGCGCGAGGATCTGGCGCCTCGTTTGCCATGACCAATACGGCTCGAAGGGAGGGTCAATTTGATTGACGTGCAGCAACGTGTACATTGAGGTTCGCGATGCTGCGCGGCACTAGCACGGTTTAGTCATCAACCTTGGAGGGCGTACCGGTAATCATCGAGCATCAACATTTCATCTCCGGCCGTGAACATGATCAACGGCCATGATATCACTGTCATCTCTGATCAGCTCCAGGTCTTTCATCTCGCAGTCGTCACCAAGCCTCTTGCAAAGACGTTGGCCTTGACGAAGAATCATGTCACTCCTACAGCCCCATGTTGGCTCGGATACGCGAACGTGACACGACATCAAATCTCGGTAGCCATTCCCTGCTCTAACTACCTCCTTTGCTCATTAGAACGAATCAAAAGACAGAGGTGTTCAGTGAGTCGGCGGGGCAAAAGCGTTTGTAGGCCTGCTCATCACAGACACTTCGATCTATTCGATCATCTGAGACCTGCGAATGCACTGGAAAGTTGTTCATTTCGCTGACTATTGGATCTCGTCTGGGCTGTTTAATTGACGGGGATTTCTCTGTGTGGCCATGTTCTGGCTGAGCTATCATCTTCCAACGTAGCTAGGCTGCTCACAAGATTAAGGATATCTTCATCTCGACTAGGGTAAGCCCGCTTCTGGGCATGAGCATATAGAAGGAGGTGTGACCGGCTTGAGAAGCTTGGATATTGACCACAAGGACCCCGAAGAGTTCGATCCGCCCGAAGCACTACTCCAGCATTCAGCGACATGTCCAAACTTCCGTACACTTGGGTTACGTCTTGGGGGTTTGGAGGACCAGACTAGAGGCTTGGATTGACTGCAGCCATTTCATCTGGTGGTATTTCCGACATTGGCCTTAAACCAGTCACTTTATGCTGATTCCCTGAAAAGCAAGTACAAGTCACGGCCGTAGCATTCGATCAAACTGACATGGCATGTGAGAGGGCAATGGCTTTGTTCATCAATCTTAGCGGTCCTGTTTCACCTGCGATGCTCTAATGAGCATTTATGGCGGGACCTTGGGCCGTCATTGGCGCCATGCTCAGCTCGCGGACGAGATTATGCGCGCGCTTTTGCAAGGGGATTTGTCGGCAGACCATGTCCATATCAGACTTTTCTATCCCGACGAAAGTCACAGCAGCTGTCGCAAGGTGGATGCGAACGGACATAGCTGGCCTGGCCACTCACATAGTAGAGGCGCCGGCTTCATTGATACACAGGACTGCAAACAATTTGTCCAGACATTTGTCATGCTGCTCCACTACTACATGCAGTCATGGTAGAATTAGGTCTGTGCTATTTTCGTCGGAAATTCATAGAAAGGTAGTAAAAGAGGCAATGACTTGATCGAAGCATAGAGCAGGGCTGGGATGTCGCCGAGGTCTGTGTTTGCTTCCACAGTTGGCGATATTGTACATGTCGTTTCATCAGAACGACTGATGCTCTCTGCAATTTTACTAATGTCCCTGTCACATCTTCGCCTTCCTTTCCTATCTTTCAAACATGACAGCGAAAACCGACATGGAGTTTGGACGAGACTATACTGTCCGCCTGCCTCCCAAATTTCACTACACACTGCTCGAACTAGTAAGTTTGCAGTCACCGTCGTCTGTTGGAGTACTAACGATATTCAGCTACGAGATGATCTGAGGAGCATCCGCCTCGTCAACAAGCAATGGGACGTTGTTGCAGTCTCGTTGCTTTGGGAGAGTCTCACGATCGACCTTACAACCCCCGACTCTTCTAAGCTTAATGCTCTCGTCGACCCACCCACAAACGGATTTACTTGGCTACGTTAAGACTCTAGTCATATCCACCAAAGCTCAGAAGTACTTGACGCCTCAGATCCAACTCCAGGCCGTTTCCAACTTGCTTAGAGTACTCGGTGCTCTACCACGCGATAATCTGGTGGCCTTCCACAGCCCGGATTTCAGACTTAATCGGAACTCTTTGGGGTTGTTGCTCAAACTCAGTCGAAGTTGAGCACTCTGAAAGTATGCCTGGACGAAAGCTGCTAGCGCGAGCTACCAGGCTCTACCTACGTGTAAGACAATAAAGGGAACATGACCCGTATCAACATCGATGTCGTCGGAAGCTAGCATCTGGCTTACTAGGGACTCGAAAAGTGGTTAGCGCAAGCAAAACTTCTGCGTGGTCTGAAAGTCAACGCAAGAAGTGTCGCTTCGAATGATTGCAATGGCCGGACTTTGCCAGCGACTACAAACCTAGTTGAGTTAGACCGGCTTGTACTAGATAACCCGAACATGTGCAATTACTCAGATCGCGTTGTATCGATGCTCAACCTTCGCTGCTTGGGAAAGCTGAAAATCCTGCGCTGCACACAAACTGAATCCGCACTTGAGACGTTCGCGAAGGGTTACCAAGAACCTGGCAGATATTCGTTGATCGCCTTGGAGCTCAACGACTCTACAGTGTCTGAACCAGAACACAAGGCATCCAAAGAGCTCATTGAGACGACTCGGGCCCTATGAAAATTCTGCTTAGATATGACAGAAAACAACCTCGTGAACCTAGATATCTTCGAGGGCAACGGCAAATCACTCGAGAGACTTGCTCTTTCCACAGCCGATCACACTTGGTCCTATCCAGCATCTGAGCTGAAGTAGCTCGTCGATCACTGCAAGCGATTGCGGGTATTTCAACTGAGCCTCGGAGACTTGACTCCAGTGATTGACGGCATGGGAGTGATGGAAACCTGTGAATTGGCCGCCTTTGAAAATCTAGAGGAACCATTGGCAAGTCGACATCGGTCCTTCAGAAATGTTCTCTTGAAAGCTCTAAAATCTGCAGCTCGTCATTGCACAGCATCCCTCACTTAAAAGTCTCGAGATCATCAGTCTTCCCCTCCTGGATGGTATCTACACGCCGCAAGAGCTTCGATGGCGCTATGCACAAACATCAGAGGTGCTCATGGAGTGTTTGGCTAAGCACGGTTCCAAGATCCATCCAATTACCTTCCAACCCTGGTGCTATACCCTAGGGTCGGATGCAGATGAAGATGGAAACACCTGGCCCCTTTATTCCTACAGGAGGGGTACCGTGACAGTCAACATCGGTGGAAGAATAGAGGCCAAGGCGACTGTGATGCCGTATGTGGAGCAGACCCATGGCTGGTCGTGCTTGAAGTATCTATCGTCATGAGCAGACATCCGGGCCGGGCAATGGGTCAGGCGGAGGGCGAGGCTTTCCACGGATGATGCCGAATTTCCTCTGCAAGTCGTCAAGACTGTGGCAGGAACAAGTATCCAAAGCGCGGATCAAGAGTCTAAACACCAATGAAGTAGGTCATACGGCCAGATTCCGCGATTCTGATGCGAATGAGGGGCAAACTGTTCCGCAGAAATAAGTCTGTCATAGTGTCATAAAATTCGAGTCATCGCCTTGGTATACCGTTGCATGCCGAATAAATCATTCCCAACATCTAACGCCAACACATACACCTCTTCCCGTGATATCACACAACGAACCTTAGCCTACAAGGTCGATGTCCCCATCATCATCTTCACCCTCGGCATCGACATCCTCACCTCTCAGCGGTGCCGGCAACTTGACTCGCACCTTCTCATATATTTCCTCGTACTTCTGCTTCTCCGCTGTGCTGTTGTGGTGCTCGAACACTTTGATCATCAACCCACAGGCCACCGCCATCCACAGCGGACTATTGCTCTGCTTCGCATGTTGGCGCACAGCATTCACGGCCGAAGATGACTTGTCTGTAACGGGCTCGACAAAGAAGCGGGCGGTGAAGTAGCAGAGCGACATGACAACGAACTCACGATTGGCAGTACGCTTGAACAGGTCATGCGACTTTTGCGTGGCGTTGTTCATGAGCGTCTTGAGGCGGTTGATGGAGGGGTCGAGTGTGCAGAGCGAATTAACAAGTGTAAATGCCATGCGGACGTATTGACTGGGATGCTCTTCGCAGGCAAGTCGGAGTTGTGACAGCAAGGCGCCGACGATCTCGTGGTCTGGGTGAGCTGGATCCCTAGCGATGAGCAACCGGTTGAACGCCGCTAAGATGCTGAGCTCGCCTGACAGTGTTGGAATGTGGCCCTTGTCAGACAGTGCGTACTCCTTTGATGAATATGTTGCAAGTGCAGTACTGAATCGACCACTTGTCTGGTCGATGATGGCCTCCAGGTACGATAACAACTGCGTGAGCTTCCGTTGATTCGCGTAAGATGCGGTCGTAAGTCTCCTTGTAAGCGACCTCAATGCATCATTGGCTGTCGTTTGATCTTCTCGATGCGTCGCGATAAGGCCGAGTGTAAACGTAGCATTCCAGTCCAGTACCCTGCGCCACTGCGTCTCCGCACATGCAGTCGAGATAGGCAAGCCGTACGGGGATTGCTTTCGCATAGAGTCTCTCGTTCTGGACCGCGCTTCTTGGACTAGCTGCATTGCCTTCTCATGTACGCTCTGATCCAAGGCACATATGTGGAAACACAGCGCCTTGATGTCTTCTCTAGGCAACCAGCTGAACACCAGTTCATCGCGACCCTCCAAGCTCTTCCCGAAGATGCCACCAGTATCCGTTGTGAGGTCGCCACCGGCTGTCCGATCGAGTGTCACGGCAAACACACCGTTCTCGGTACCAAGAGCGGCGTCGTTCTCGTCTGCAGTAGCTTGAACGAGAGTAGTTGACTTCGCGCTGTCAGGTGCGTTCTGGTGTACACTACTTGCCAGATCCACGACGCTAAAAATTGTACCAAAGGAGCCTTGTTGCTCCGCCGACATCGTGAGTTGCAGACTTCGAGCTTGTGCAATAGCCCGCTGAGCCTCAACCAGACGGTCTTGGGCGCTTGATCGTAGATGGACCATCGCCTCCAAGGCACTGCAGGCGAAGGCCACTGCGGTATCGCCACACTTGTTTGCATGAGCGTTGATAGCGTGTAACTGTTGGAGGGCAGGTATTGCTTCAATGCGTTCGGTGTTTTGTAACAACAGTGAGACCTTCAAGAACCGAAATGCGTACACCCAAGCGATCTGCTGGAATGTCTCGGCTTCTGAAATGTTTTTATCGAGAGCCTTGAAAGCCGCTCGATGGTTTGTTTGGTACTGGTATCGAGCTTGAAGATGCAGCATGCTGTAGCGTAGATCTTGAAGACGACAACGCGCACACAGAGAGATACCCTTCGATAGGATCTCATCGATCTCGGCGGTGTTATCCGTCTCCTCGATGAGGAGACTTGCGTACCTCAATCTCAATCTCGCCTCATCTCGCGGCTGCATATTGTACTTCCTCAGCACAGCATCCATGCACCCCATCGCAGTCGACATGAGCTTGTAGTACTGCTGCACCTCGCCATTCTTCTTCTGTCGTGCTACTGACGGTCCCATTCCACGTGCTGCGGCGATGTATTCATCTGCCGCCGATAGTAGCATTACCGACATGTCGGCTGGCAGGTTCTTTTGCTGTAACTGAGCTGGCGCGGCTTTGGTCGGCGAGGTAAGCTGATGTGACGGAGGTCGAGAGATGACGACTTTGGGATGTGACCGAGGCTGCGAAGACGTCTGTGATGATGGTCGTTGTATGGGCGTCTGCTGTGTTGGAGTGGTCTGAACCGGTCTCGGTTGCGGATGTGATCGTGAAGGGCCTCCTTGCTGCGTAATTTGGACCTGTGGTGTTGGGCGTTGCTGCTGTTGCGGCTGTGACGGAGTTCGTTGAGGCGTAATCTGTACCTGCGGGGTAGGGCATGGTTGCTGTTGTTCGATCTTGACCCGAACTTGGCTACCTGCAGGTCTCTTCTGGGGCTGCGGATGTTGTCGCGATTGTTGCTGTTGCTGCTGTCGCTGCTCAATCTTGACTTGGACCTGTGGTTGACTGATCGGGACGCGCTGTTGCTGTTGCTGAGCTTGAACTTGGACTGGCGTACGTGGCGGCATCTGTTGGGTTCGTTGCTGCTGCTGAGCTTGAATCGGTGTGCTTGGTGTCATATGCGGCGGACGCTGCATGCCCTCTTGATGCGACGATGTCCGCTGTACTGGCTTCGACATCGGTGGAGTAGGGACTTGTTGCGCACTTTGCCGTCGATAAATATCTTGGGAGCCATCCATCTGCATTATCCCAGAGCTACTTGAGTGTTTGAACGGTGCCTGTCCTTGCCTCATGTGCGGACTTGACACCTGAAGTCCCTCCATTTGCGCGTTCCCACCGCTACTTGTACGCGGTGCTGGCACATGAACTTGCCTCATATTTGGACTCGACATCTGCACACCCTCCATCTGCGACCTTCCAGCATTGCTTGTTCTTTGTAACGGCACCTGTACCTGTCTTATGTTGGGGCTTGACGATTGAGGATTCGATAACTGAGGGCTCGACACCTGCGGATATGAAACCGACGGAGCTCGTTGTGGTATCATGACCTGCGCTTGTATTCGAGGCTGCGGCAAAGGTTGAGGTTGAGGTTGCGCTCGAGGTTGCTGCTGTGGAACTTGTCGATACTGCTGTTGCTGCTGCGAGGGCTGCTGGTATTGCAGCTGTTGTTGTGGCATTTGTTGGTATTGCGACTGCTGGTACTGCTGCTGTGGGGGGTATGTGTGCTGATGTTGAGGCATCTGCATGTACTGCTGGCTCTGCGGTCGCGGCGTATTTGCCTGCGGCTGCCTTTGCTGTGGCTGCTGCTGCTGATGCTGCTGCTGCCTATGTTGCATTTGCATTTGCGCCTGGGCATACTGCTGCTGGTATTGCTGCTGGTACTGCGGAGGGTACTGCGGAGCTTGGCCATATTGCGGGTAGCCATTCTGCGGCTGCTGTGAGGGATACTGGCCGTTGGACCCGTGCGAGTAGCCGTATTGCTGGTTGTACCGTGGATCCATTATGTTTTTTGTAGTTCGGCGAGGTGCGATCACCAGGCATCGTGCTTCGTCATGACATCGTGAATGTTGGTGGGGTTCCAAAGGTACGAAGTAGAAAGTCGCGATGCTCAAGAGGCAGGCGCGACCGACCGCGACCCGCGCAGTCACATGCTGATTGGATACATTGACGCGCGTGTGTTTGCCCCCCTAATGCACCGAGGCATATTCCGTACCGGTATAGGATGAACTGGCAACATTTTCCTTGTCCCTTTCTACAGGAAAATTATCACACCTTTCAAGCAGCGTTATTAGAGTTGAAAATCTATTCAAGAGGACCAACAAAGCGAGAGCTAGGAATCTGAACTTCCACCACAAAATCCCCGAAAACTGGGAAGCCCTTGTTGCCAGAACACCCTGTTCAGAAGCAACGCACCGTTTCGAAAAGAATTGATTCAAGGGAACAATCTCATAAACAGTCGATATGTCTTGGTTACTCGGTCACGGCAAGACCGCCTACACACACCACACGTCACTAATTCCGCTGGCAACTAAGTCTGGATCCAAGACCACACTGCTAGAGATCGCCCAATCTTCGATAGCACCATGTCGTCTCAACCCATTCCTCTTCAATGGACACCTTCAGACTATGTTCACAGCCTGGAAAGACCCGGGTCCACCAATCCACTACAAGAGACACATCTATACATCAAACCATAGCGTGTACCCCGGCAGCTTCGCCGTCGACTTCGTCGTCAGCAAAGAAGAAGGCTCTGCAGCAACCTCCGAATCCGAGCTACCAGAACGCACCACCCTCTACTCTGAGAAGGAATGGGAGAATATAGGCAGCACCGACTCCAAACCAATGCTCATCGCACTCCACGGCCTAACTGGCGGAAGCCACGAAGTGTACCTCCGCGAAACCCTCGCACCTCTCACAGCTGCTGGATGGGAAGCTTGCGTCGTCAACGGCCGTGGCTGCGCACTCTCCAAGATCACGACGCCACAATTGTTCAACGCGCGAGCAACTTGGGATCTCCGAACGACGGTCAAAGAACTGCAGATGCTGTTCCCCAACAGGCCACTCTACGCAGTCGGGTACTCCCTCGGCGCCAACATCCTCACCAACTACTGCGGGGAAGAAGGCTCGAAGTGCGTGCTGCGCGCTGCAGTCGCAAACTCGAACCCGTGGAACCTTGAAGTCGCCAACGTCGAGCTGAACCGCACATGGCTGGGTGTCAACATTTACTCTCGCACCATGGGGAGGAACTTGATGGGTCTGTATGAGAGGCACAAGGAGCAGATACTACAGAACACGGATATCAAGAAGGAGGTTGTCGAGCAGTGCAAGTATCTGTATGAATTTGACCGGCACGTGCAGTGTCCGTCGTGGGGGTATCCGACGGAGGGCGCGTATTATAGGGACGCGCAGAGTGTGGATGCGCTTGTGGCGGTGAGAGTGCCGTTCTTGGGCATTAATGCTGAGGACGATCCGGTGAGTAGTACCAGCCACTCTTCTGCAGGTGTTTTTCTTGAAGTAGAAAGTTGGATTGGCTTGGTTATTAGCTTTGCTGACGCCACGGCAGATCTCCTCCAAAGCCGCCATCCCGTTCGAAGAGTTCAAGCAGAACCCGTACACGCTACTCTGCACGACCGACTGGGGCGGCCATCTGGGGTCCTTCCAGCTGGGCGGCGGCCGCTGGTTCGCAACAGCCACTGCCTCGTTCCTGACCAAAATCCACGACACCGTTGACCACGCTGCGTCCAAGGCGGTGCGACAAGAGGACAAGGTCGACACGCCTAACAAAGTGTATCCCATCTTCGACCCCAACCACAGACGACTGGTTCTGCCGGACGCATAGACGGCGATAAAGACTTGCATTACGCGGACACGGGTATCATAGACATGTAGACACGGTAGACTCTTAGACCAGCCAGCTTCCCCTTCAACCAAAACTAACCCTCTTCTTGGGCTTGAACTTGCCGTCCTTCTTGGTGTTTTTCTTGGGCGACTCGGTGTCGGCGTCGTCGGTGCGCGCAGGCTCGGAGTTGCGCTTGCGCTTCTTCTTGAGGCTCTGTTTCCTCTCCTCCTGCTCTCGTTAGCACACGTTCGTCGACTGTTTACATGGCGAGCGTTGAGACGTACGAAATCGGCCTTCTTCTCGTCCGCCCGCCCCTCAGCCTCCTTCCTCTTCGCCTCCCGGATCTCCTCCAGCTGCCGGGCGCGCATGATCTTGCTCTCAATATGCCCCTCCTTCTGCGCATTCACGACGCTCATAATCGCCATCATGCTCGCGGGGTCGTCGACAAAGATTTTGCCCTTCTTCTGGCCCTTTGGCTTCGCAATGCCCGCCGGCACGATCGAGTTCAGCTTGGGAATGTCGAGCTCGGCCTCTGTGTAGACGCGCTTTTTCTTGCGGTTCGCATTCTTCTTGTTTGATTTCGACTTCTGCTCGCCGCCGGGTTTTGCGAGCGAGAGTTTCTTCTGCTGGTTCTTGGAAATGCCTTCTGGTTTCTTCCCGGCCGACTTGGGTTTCGCACCGGCGCTTTTTCCCTTGGGCCCGCTCTTTCCCTTGCTGCTTGGTTTCGAAGGCGCCATTGTGTTGTGTGGAGCTGTGGAGTTGTGAGAAGTGCAGCATGCGAGCCCTGGAACTTTTTCGATCGGCGTTAGCTCCAGGCCCACTTGCCGACGCCAGTCGCCAGCCGCAACGTCAAGCGTCGGTCGGCCGCCAAGCTCTCCAACCTCGCAGGGCAGTCGCAACCGCAGCGCACAACAGGCCTCACCACCGACCCCGACGCCCCACACGCGCGCAACCGCAGAAGAGATACAATGGAGGACAACCGCCTTTTCCGCTTTCCCAAGCCTGCGTGGCTCAACAGCGCAAACACGCGCACCTTCGGCGTCTACACTGCTGGAGCTCTGGTAGGCAGCACCTTCGACATGCAGTAACAGCGACAGCGACACTCATACTAACGCACTGTGTGTAGTTTGCGCTCGGATTCTACTCTCTCATCGACATCGCCGTCTGGTCCAAGTCGGTCATGAACCCCTCCGAGCCGCCCGTTCACGTCACCTTCATCGACTGGATACCCGGCATCTGCTCCGCGCTGGGGATGCTCGTCATCAACTCGATCGACAAGTCGCGGCTGTCGGCCGACAGCTTCAGTTACAGCGGCAACGGCGTTGCGTGGAAGGCGCGGCTGGTGCTGTTCCTGGGCTTTGCGCTACTGGCTGGCGGCCTGGCAGGGAGCGTCGTGGTCCTGGTTATGAAGTACATTGTCACCGAGTACACGTGGCCGACAATCTGGATGGGTATCGGCAACGTGGTTGCAAACGCGCTGATTATGCTGAGGTATGATTGGAGAAGTAGTGGTGCACGATCAAGGCTAACAAGTGATAGCTCGGCGGTCCTTTGGATTGCGCAGAACATGGAGGACGAGTACACATACAACCTGGCGCTTTGAGAGCGGTCAGCGAGAAAAGCACAGGCGTGTGCATGATGCGTCACGCAAGGCTGAGCACGCGGAGTCTCGGATATTTATGATGGCGGAAATGCAGGGTTGCTGTCTGGTCTATGGCTGTATGCATATGTTTGAAGCGTTTCTATGACACCAGTGTCAGTTCGTGCTGACCTAACATCCTGGTGGATCGAATTAAGGATAATTCTGGCGCGAGCCGTTCAATAACATGTGCTCTTCCTAGCATGCCCAACGTCAGAGTACAAGAACGCTCAAAGTATATGACAAATCCAAGTCGCAATTCATCTTGCTCCTATCACGTACAACACATGCCTCATAATCACATACAGAGGCCCTCCGTTCAGCGCTTCCAAGCTTGCGCCCCTGCTCGTCCTGCGGCGCCACTTCATCCCTCGTTTCCGCCGGCTAGTCAGAAGTCTTGATCCTCATGGAAGAACAGCGTAAAGCTGATGATAGTAGAGTAGATTGTCAGACCGCCAATGACTGACATGGCCGCGGCGCCGCCGGCGATCTGCGCCGAGTGCCAGAGCAGCGTGGGGAGCGCGATTCCCATGACGACAAAAAAGCCGGTCAGGAACCGACCGAAGTCGATCACACCGTTCCCCGAACTCTCCATGAAGTCATCTTGGGTCGAGGCGCGGCCGCATATCCAGTTGGGGAGCGGTGCAATTACGTAGGTCGCTACGACGAGGAGCGTGAGGTAGTTGTGGAACAGCGCTGCGGAGAGGATGACGAGCAAGAAGCCTATCGCGAGGACCTAGAGTTATTGATTAGACCCAGGGATGCTCTTCAACGTGCTGCATGTCTATGCGCCTGGGGGGCTTACGAAGGACAGCCCGATGATCGTCTTGATGCCGGCCATGGTCTGTAGCCGATGCGGGATGCACGGTACTGTATGATTGGGAGTTGCGGTCTGGACCGGTTTCGCACAGCGTAGTATGCTCGGCAAAGTCGTTGTTCGATTTGGTTTGTGGTGGTGCCTGCTACGAACCTGGATGCAGGCGCGAGGTTGGATAGCTTGGCACACCACTTAGCGCGGCGCCGAAGGTAAGGTAAGAGCTCCCGAGCTATCGTCACCTAGTTGCCTGCATCTAATCGACACCTCCCCCACAAAGCTTCCCCAACGCCGCGACGAACTCTCACGCCCCATTCCATAATCAGGGCTGTTCAAACATCCAGACCACCAGTCACCCTCACCGCGCCTCCCGTAGACCAAACACCCCGCCTCCACCATGTTTAGAAACAACTATGACAACGATTCGGTGACATTCTCACCCCAAGGGCGTATCTTCCAGGTCGAGTACGCACAGGAAGCTGTCAAGCAGGGTTCTGTCGTTGTGGGCATCGTCAGTAAGACACATGCGGTTCTCGCCGCGGTCAAGGTGTGTAGACTACAAGTCAACATGGGCTCGGTGTGATTGACCTCTCTGACAATCTCCAGCGTAACGCAGAAGAGCTCTCATCCTACCAGAAGAAGGTCATTCCAATCGACTCGCACTTCGGCGTTGCGCTCGCCGGCCTTGCCTCTGATGCCCGCGTCCTCTCCAACTTCATGAAGCAGCAAGCGCTCGCCTCCCGCCTCACCTACGACCGCGCCATTCCGCTGTCCGAGATCGTATCGCGCATCGCAGACCGTGCACAGACAAACACACAGCAGTACGGAAAGCGGCCGTACGGTGTTGGTCTGCTCATCGCCGGCGTCGACGCGAGGGGCCCCCACCTGTTCGAGTTCCAGCCGAGCGGTGTCACACAGGAGATGGTTGCGTGCGGTATTGGTGCGAGGAGTCAGATGGCCAGGACATACCTCGAGAGGCACTTGGACGAGTTCGAGGGCGCAAGCCGGGAGGAGCTGATCAAGCACGCGCTGAAAGCCCTGAAGGAGTCGCTTTCTCAGGATAAGGAGCTTACTGTCGACAACACAAGCGTGGGTATCGGAGGTCTTGGCGAGGACTTTGCGCTGCACGAGGGCCAGGACATTGCTGAGTGGCTCTCAACAACGTTCGAGAACACTGAGGGTGGCGAGGAGGGCGCAGAGGCGATGGAGACAGACTTGTAGACTGTCTACGATTCCCTGGAGGCCTCCGGATGGGCACCATGAGGCATGGCTGAGAGCTGAAAGCTGTCACAAAAGAGGCAGCATAGCTATGAAAATACGATGAACACGAATCCACTGAATACCTCCATGACTGTTTCTAGTACCGTAAGTTCATGCTTCCACATTGCTGTGCCCTTTTCATTGATGAACCCTTGAAGACCTTCAGGGTGCCGCGTCATTGACAGAATCTGTAAAGATATGGATCCTCGCAATATGACGCACGATTTCTATTCATAGAGAAAAAATACCTGCAGGGTAGGCTGTTCCATACCAGTCCGGGTCAAGTTACAGTTCTACAGTTGCACGGCTCGGTCACGTGTTTAGATGGCCGCTCGGAGCTGCAGCCCGGCCATCAAAGTTGCTTGCTCAACACCTCCGACTTCATCACGACCCGCAAACCTACCCACCACCCCGTCAATCCGCATCCAATCATCACAATGGCAGCCGCTTGGAAAGTCGCCGGTCTCACGTACGCTCCGCACCACACCAATTGGGCCCGAGGACACGGCAGTTAACGCAAGCCACAGCTACAACCGCTACATTTCGGTCGCATCGCGCGTCGTTCGCCGATCCCTCAAGGAAGACAAGCGCATCGCTGCTGAGCGCAGAGGCGAGAGCGAGCTCAGGTTCGCCAAGTGGGAGGTGAGTGCATCGTGCATGGGAGCGTGGAGTCTTGGGCAACGGGGCTAACGACGGGCAGAACGGCAAGCAGGGCGATGTCAAGGAGCTGAACGACGCTGCTCTCCAGGCCCAGGCCGCGGCCAAGGCTGCTGAGTCTGCCGCTTAGATGCATTGCGCATAACGTGGGAAGTGAGGGCAGAGGTGTGAATGTATACATGTACTATCAATGCCGAAGGAAGCTTTCTGGAGGACAGGCAAAAGCCAATGCATAACCTGATTTGAGCTCACTGCACGCATTCTTACAGCAATCGCACCCGTGACGTGACTCCGCTGTGGAGTTGCCAGTGAGAGTCGTGACTTGACGTTCAGGTACCATAGGTGATGGAGATGGAGCCATGCAGGTCTTTCCCGCCAGCCGCTTCGGCGCGGGACTACTCCTCCACGACCATGGCAGACTGTCACCGCCACAGCACCGCCTCGCCCCAAGATGCTGATGCTATCTCGAGTCATGACGAAACTGGTGCATACACTGTAACATGTTGGATGTAGTTGATGTTAATTCGAGCAGGCCCCTCCCACGTGAATATCACCAATGCCGCCCCGCAAGCCAACCTGCCGTTGAGGCAAGCGTTCAGACAGCCTATCTGTGCGCCGGAACCAAAGATCCATGATATCACGGAAAAGTTCCTAAAAGCGAGTAACGGTACGCTTTACTCCTCGGTCTAGGCAATATTCAAGTGTGCCGCAAGAGATGGATGGTGGGGCTGTGTGTCTCACATGGTTGCCATGCGCCTTCTCAATGTTGAGCATGCATGATGGTACAACCAAAAGCCAAACACAGAACTAACGTGTCACAGCTCTGGAAGTCGGGCAACTTGTCAAAGATGACTACTTCACATTGTTCGAGTCCATCGGGGCTATCGAGGTATCTCCAGCCCGCCATAGGTTGACCATCCAGCACAACTGACGCCCCCAGATCATGGATCCCAAGATGGACAGCGGTTTCCTGGAACCCGGCGAGACGCTTGAAGATGACTACGACACATCCAGATCTTTGCTTCCAGAGGAGATCATCGGCATCATGGACCAGCTGCTCTGCTACGAAATGGCCTGGCATACAGGCTACCCCCTCTCTCAGACACTCTTCACATCAGTCTACATCGACAAGCTGCTATGGCCCGAACCCAAAACCCTCGAGCAGTCTCAGTTTTTCCCGAATGGCGAGAGCGCACATGGACCGTCAGTACAGGCATTACTGCAGGTGCTCAGAGCGTACTGTCTTGCACTCATCAAAGGCTGTGACTATGTGATAGCGAAGATCACTAGTCGAGACTACTTTGAGGAAGAGGACTTCTGCACACAGACTTACAACCGGGTTTTGTTTGTCAGTACGCCGATAGATGTTTTCTTGAGAGAGCTTGACGCTGCGATAGAAATCATGGAAGAGTAAGCAGTGTTTTTGTCAAGTAAATCGCATGTGCTAATCTAGCACAGTACCGATCTAGAACTGAATGATGCACTCCGGTCAGCCATCATAGCCAGACTAAAGTTTAGAGAAGACTATCTTAGAGCCTTGGATCTAGACCACCCACTAGACCAGATTTCGTCTTCATGGTCCCCCGCGCTCGCGGGCATGAACTCAATCAAAGCTACACATCAGCTCGGACAGTCCGTACCTGGCGCCTTCAGTACAAAGATGCAACGCAGGCTTGCATCGACAGTACCACCTCGCCCGATTGTTGAGTTCGAATTCAAAGAGGCACTGGTTCTGCTTGAACATATCTGCGTCGATTGCGAAGAAGCTACTCGATTCATCGACCTTCCGCAAGACCCCCTGGAATACCAGTCGTTCCTCTGGAACTTTGCATCTCGATCACCTGCGCCACTGGCATACTCGCGATCTTATCTCTCGACACTGCTGTTTCATCCGGAGACATTGAACACGGCCATGTCATTGCCCCTGGCGGACGTCAAGACGCTCGTCTTGCCCGCTTCCCCCGTGCTCGATCCAATCAACTGGACAGTTTCTCCACCCCGAAACTCACTCCTGCCCAAACCACCTCGACTTCAACTGGCAATGCTTATCGATGAGTTTGTAGAACGCTCCGGACAGCCATACTTGGACCTCTGGGTCGCCCTGGGCCAGAATCGCTGCCGCCTCCGCCGAATGCTAACCCACGTCATTACCGCCTGGGACTTCTTGCAAGCGGACGCCAGCCTCGTAGACACCGACCTCGCGGCTGCGGCCTCGGAACTCTCTCTCACCGACCAAATCCTCGAGTTCTCACTCTCAACATGGGTCTACCACAAGAAGCTCTGGATGATTGAGAAAGTTATCCTCCTCGGCTTCGAGCAAGACATCTACCTGCCCGACGAATTCAGTGGGCTGTACCTCTTCCTCTCGCTCATCGTCACGCGCCGCCTCGAACTGCTCTCGCGCATGCACTCCCACCACACGGCACGGCACACGCAACTGCTGCGCGAGCGCAAGCTGCGGCTTGCCTCCGAAGCCGCAGACGCAGCGCCCTACCTCTCGTCGCTCCTCGCAGAAGCATCCGGCACCGCCGCCCTCTCGCTCGCGCTCGCGCGCTTCTACATGATCTGCGCCTACCTGTCGCTCATCCCGCTGCCCAAGCGGCCCTTCGGCACCGAGAAACTCCGCTACGAACTACGCATGAAACCGTTCCTCGCCGTGCAGCCGCCCGAAGTCCCGCCCTTTGAGGACTTCAAAGCGCACACGCAGCCCTACGGCGCGTACGCCGCGCCGGACCCGGCGTTCCACGCCGACCTCGGCAACGAGCAGAGCGAGCTCTGGCGTGAAGTCGATGGCAACGTGAGGGCGGCGCGCGAGGCGTTTGCCGAGGTGAAGCGGCTCGGGCCGCGAGCGGCGCGGTGCCAGGGCGTGGAGACGGCGTGGACGAGGGACGTGCAGAATCTGCTTGCGAGCTGTGTTGCGCTGGGCGTTGCGAGCGCGGGCGTCAAGGAGGCTGTGAGCAGGGACGCCGCGGGGGGACATGGGCGTGGAGTCGGGGTGAGTGGTGTGCGTGCGGAGGTGCCCGAGGGCGGGGCGAAGAAGAGGTACAGCGAGGGCTGGGTCGTGGTGAAGGTCGTCAAGCAGGAGTGAGCGTTGAGCCGTGTAGCAGGCCTGGGGGGACCCAACTCTGGCGTGGGGACGCGTGCATCAATTCCTCGACGCCCACGTAAAGCTGTAGTCCGTGATGTGATGTCGCCATCATGCGCCCCGGGTATCATAACCATAACCACCAAAAACGCCTAAAGCCCATACACAGTCCATGGTCTGTGAGCTTGCGAACGCCGCTTGCAAGTACCGCTTGTCAACACGCCGACATGGCATGACGCTTCCCTCTCTCTCTCTGTTTCTCTCTCTCTCTCTCTGTTTCTCTCTCTCTGTCTGTGTCTCCCCCACTCCACCCCCACTCATCCCTTAGCCCTCCTCAAGCACCCCTCCCTCACCCTCCTAATACCCTTGGCGCTCACACCACGCTCGCCCGCCATCTTCGCCCTGATGCCTGCTTCGCGCATGAGCTCCTGCACGAAGAGCATGTAGTTGAGGTAGATCTGGGGCACGCGTCAGCGAGGATGCGGCAGTGAAGCACGTTCTTTCCGCGACGAAAGCCGCAGTCACGCAGACGGGAATAGACGCACCAGGATGTCGACGTTCCTGCTCAGCGGGCGGTTGGCGTGCGCTTTGACGATCTTCTTGAGCGTGGCGCGGGGGTATAGCGTTGGCGCCATTGTGCGGCTGTGGACGGGGGAAATCGTGAGGTCGCGCCGGCGCGGGGAGGTTGTCGCTGTGTAGTTGTGGGCTCGGTGTTTGGTGTTGACGTCGTGTTTGGGGGACGTGCGCGTTGAGCAACACCCGTTGACAGCTGCGGCGCGTTGGCACAAAACGAAACATTGGTAATTTGTAGTGAGCTAGGCATCATCTCGTCCGCTAGGCATCATCTCGTCCGCAAGGCATCATCTCGTCCGCAAGGCATCATCCCGTCCGCATGGCATCATCTCGTCCGTCCTTTATTCACTCCGAATGTTTGTTGCAGTTACTTCTCCAGCCACGCCGCACGGTCGCGACAAGGAACGAGCAAATCCGGGCAGGAGCTGCAGTGAACAAATGAGAATCCATATAATACTCTATCTGGAAATTGGGACTATCACAAGATAATGTTACACAAGCCCCGAGCCAAACGAGATTCTGCTCAAACGCGCCGCTCAACATGACTGTATTTACACCTTAAGGCCCAGCTCCTCAGCGTACGGCAGCACGAAGAGGTCACCGACTGCAGAGACGGACGCCTTGCTCTCGAGTAATGTCTTGGCAGCCTGGAGTGACATGTCAGCATCATGATGAAGAGACGGCAGATGATTAGGATTGCACGTACCGACTTGACAGCCTCCTCTGATACACCGTCAATGGCCTTGGCGACCTCGTCGATCTGGTAGGCCTTGGAGTTGTTCACGAGGCCGTTGCCAGAAAGCTGGAGACCGGCGCGGATGTCCTGGCCGTTCTCGAGCTCCTTGAACTTGGCGGCAGCCTTTGCCTTGGAGATCTGCTCGCTGGAGATCTCGCCGGCTGCAATCTTCTTGATGGCCTCGACGGCAGCCTTGGCAGTCTGCGCGACGGCCTGGGCGGAGCCGGTGATGGACGTGTAGAGGAGGCCGGCGTCGGAGTAGATGGCGCTGGTGGTCTTGACCTGGGTGGTGGGGGTAGCCTTGGCCTGGCCGAGAATGGTGAAACCGGGCGACCACTTGACGGCAGACTGGCCACCAAGGAGCGAGCCGAGCACGGCCATCTCGGGCTTGTAGAACTGGCCGGTAAAGGAGCTGGAGCCGGGGAAAGCCATGACAATGGCGTTGCCGCCGTCGTGGGCAAGGCGCTCCTCACCACCGTGGTACTTGGACTGCTCCTGGCCCTGGCTGAGCTCCTGCAGGGGAGTGGCCGGAACGCCGTCGAAGAACTGGCCGACCCACTTGGAGAACTCGCCGTGGTCAGCGCCGTTGGCGACAAGGGCAATGTTGGACTTTGCGTATGCGCTCTGCGCAAAGTGCTCAATCGTCTCGGCGTCGAGGTACTTGGTGTAGGGCGTCTGCGAGGCCGAGGCGGTCGAGTTGCCAAGGCCGCGATGGAAGGCGAGGCTGTGGGCCGAGTTGAGCGCCATATCGAGGGGGCTGGCGGCGAACTTGGTGTGGGCAAAGTGGATCAAGGGCAGCACCTCCTCGTTGTAGACGTGGGCTGCACGCGTCAGTATGTGGGAGTACAACCTGTGCAGGGCAGGCGGGGCACTGCATACGCTGGTACTTGGTCTGGCTGGCGACCTCGCCGAACAGCTCGACAAAGTAGGGCAGGTCGTCGCGGAGGAACTTGGCCTCGAGCACGAGGTTCTCGCGCGAGTGGTGGGCGGTCAGGGTAGCTCCCAGCAGCTCCGACTCGCGGACGATGCGCAGAGTCGACCTCCGCTCGGTGGCCTGCAATGCAATTGCGCGTCAGCGGAGCTCCTTGATGCGATTGTGCGAACATGCGACGAGTATGGCGCTGAGCGTACCCGGAAAGCAAAGTTGGCGAGACCCTCGGTCAGGCCGGGCAACGGCTGGTATCGCGTGCCGGCCTTTGCGACCAGCGCCAGCGTCGTCGTTGGGCCTGCAAAGTCACGGCTGGCCAACTTGACGCCCTTGGCCTCGCCAGACTGGTACTGGAAGGATCCTGACGCCGGAGCCGCGAGTCCGCGCTTCTGTGTGCTCGACAGCTGGCGGGCAGCTCGCTGCGCGCCCCGGCAGGCGGTTGTGCGGGACAGCATCGTGGAGGGGACTCCGATCGGGGGGGGACTGTGGACGGCTGCTGATGGACGCTGCCGTCCTGCAAAGATGTTGCGAGGGCGCCAAGGCCGTCATCCATTGCGCCGCCGCGGATTGGCTGGCTCCCGGGGCGGCGGGGGCTAACCCTAGGAATTTCTGCCCTCTGCACGCAAGCACGCCTAGAGCCCGGCTCGTCCACAGCAACAACCCGCCCAATGTCTCTCCGGTAGGCCCGACGTCACCTAGATATCTGGCAAATATCTAGGCCATTTCTCGGCAGTACCATGTCTTACACCCAGCGCGAGACTCCGGTAAGCCGTGCCCACGCAGCAGCGCAGCACGCACCGCGCCGTGAGCCATAGCCAACACTGTCCCAGATACTCGCAGAGCTCTGCACCTTCCTCGTCCAAGACGTCTACGGCGAACTTGCAGCGGTATGTGCCGCGACCCTGCATCACGTGCGCTGCGCGCAACACCACAGACGCGCACGGCGATGCAACTGTTGCACACCCTGGCTTGCGCGCACGGCTAACCCTCCCCAGCGCATCTACTCGGTGCTCGCACGCCACGGACGGCAGACCCTCGCAGCCGTCGCCAAGGCGTCGTACCTGAATGCGCGGCAGATCAAGTACGGCCTCGTGATCCTGCTCCAGCAGCACCTCGTCTTCCACTCCGCCAACGATGCGCAGCCCACGTACTACGAGATCGACTGGCAGAACTCGTATGCCCTCGTTCGTCTGGGCAAGGTCACCAAGCTGGTCGAGGACCGATTCGGCACCAAGGCCGCCAATGTCATGACCAACCTGCTGCGCCTCGGCCACACGCGCATCGCAGACCTCAAGGAAGCCTACTTTCCCACCGAGGCCGACGGCGACGCTGACTCGGACGATGAGGCTACAAACGCCGTCGGCAAGAAGAGGAAAAGAGCAAACGGCGAAACCAATGGGTCAGCCAAGACAAATGGCACCGTCAGTGGCGACGATGTGAAGCCTCCCGTCAACGGAGGCCGTGCGCACACGAATGGTGGACCTGTCGAGCACGCCAGTCAGCACCAAGCAGGCGACGACGAGGGCGAGGTTGCGTCAGACGAGGGCGAGATTGCGTCAGTCGAGGAGCTGTACGAGGTCATCGAGCGTCTTATCCAAAAGGGCTGGGTGCGGACTATGACAGAGTCGCAGTACCTGTCGCCCGGAGATATGCACGATATCCTCCAGCAGGAGACCATCGACCAGGATCTTGCTGGCCAGCAGCCCACGGGTATAAAAGACAAGGCCGTCTGCCACCGGGGCACGCTCGAGCGGAAACGCAACATGCGCGACAAGTGGCTCGAAGTGCCAAGGTTCTCTCGAAAGCGCCCGGCCGACCAAGATTACAGCAACCCCACGAAGCGCGTGAAGACGAACGGTGCGAACGGGTACGCGGGTGCTGGTGGCGCGTCGCCAGAGGACAAGCTTGTCATACGAGTGAACCCAGAGAAGATTGCTGTTGCTATGCGCACAGAACAGCTCGTGTCGCTAGTTGAGCAGCGCTTGGGTCACGTCACGGCTCACATATACCGAACCATGCTGCAAGAGCTCGAGGCAAATACCGCACGCTGCTACGAGGAGTATCCTGAGCCTCCGACAGCTGGTGATGAAGGTGGAGACAACCAGATCGATTCCAAGAATCTTGTCACTGCGCGAGACGTCGCAAAGAAGATCAGCAAGAAGTTGGACATCTGCGAAGGGTTGGACCCGAACGCAGTCGTCCAGATCACAAGAAAAGGCCACGTTCGCAGCGCCAACGTCCTCAGCCATCCCATCGACCCGGCCACCCTCAACACCGACGAAAAAACGCGCATCATTGACAAGCACATCCAGCTCCTTTCCGAAGACCCCACGCACTTTGTGACCTGGCACTCGCGCGCAGGCTACTCGCAATGGCACATTGAATTCCCCGAGATCGCCAAGCAGCTGATCCAGACCGAGATTGAAAACACCGTCTCGGCACGAAAGGGCACACTAGGCGTCAAACTGATCCGCGCGCTGCGAAAAAAGGGCAAGCTCGACGAGCGCGCAACTTGCAACGCCATGATGATGTCTGCAGGCGACATCCGCGGCATCGTCAACGACCTGACTGTACAGGGCATCGTGCAGACGCAGGAGATTCCCAAGGTGGAGCGAAGAGAAGCCAAACACTCCCTCCACCTCATCTGGTACGATCGCCAGCGTGCACGAGAGAAGTTGCTGCATGACACGTACAAGGGCATGGTGCGCCTACTGCAGCGCATCCAGTTCGAGCGCGAAAAAGTCCAGCCCCTCCTCAGCAAAGCCGAGCGTTCAGACGTCGTCGGCAACGAGGAGAAGTGGCTCAGCAAAGGCGAACTCGACGCGCTGAGGAAGTGGAAGGAAGTGCAGGAGAAGCTCTCCCTGCAGCTGTTCAGAGAGGACGATCTGGTCGCCACGCTGCGCGACTTCCACGGCCCGCTCGTCTCGGTGTAGGGAAGTGTAATGATAGTGCAGTTTTAGGCTTCGGCCCTCTTATGGCGTTCCCCGAGCAGCGGAATTTGGGACGGGATCTGCTTGCGCAGGCCATTTAAAAGCATCTTGGTACGGATGATACCCCGAGCATCTGGGACGGAGTTCGATTCGCAATAGCATTCTTTCAGCAGCAATGTATGTGTATCTGATGTGTCGATCTGCTGCTCGTCGAACCAACCGTCAAGCACGAAGCACGCCTGGCCATCGTGGGCAGCAGCGCCGCCGAAGCTTCAACGCAGTCGCACGTCGCAAGTCGCAACTGGCAAAGCGGCATCGGCCTCGTCTTCTGCGGGCTGACGTTCCATGTCGGTTGCGGTAGATGCATTCCGAAGGAAGCATGTCCAGCGGCGGTTCCGTTCGCGCCACGTCACAGTCCAAAGCAGTACGCCATCTCATCCTGTGCGGTCGCGGTCGCGGTCAGTTCAGAATGAACAAGGTCGGGTTGATTGGTTTCCAGATGCGTGCCATGTACCAGCCTCGTGGGTCTGGGTCTGCCTAAGCACTGCCACTGGCCTCGTGTGCATAATCAAGTCTGATATCTGTGTGCATAATCAAGTCTGA